ACCACTTTTTGGGAAAATACTTTGATCACACAGCTCACAATAGGAAATGATATAGGCCTTTTTTTAAGCCACTTGCACCCTTTCAAACACCAATTACCCCACAAAGCTCCAATGAGGACATTGTCGAATTTAAGTTTGGGGGAGGAGTTTATATAAGGACATAAAGTCAATACCAAAGAGCAAAGCTCTAATTTGACTCCTTATCATAAAAGGGTTTGGAAAAACACAAATAAAAGTCCCATAGGGGATATGTGTTTCAAAAAAGCACAATGAAAGTTCCATAGGGACTATGTGCACACTCCAATCAAAAGTGGTCAAAGTGCCCAAAAATTTGAAAAAAATCATATGTGGAGTATAAAAGGAAAAAGGCAATGGGAGAAAAGAAACGCCAAAGAGAGTAAACCCTTTAAGCCCTATTGATCCTAATTATGTGAGTGCGTTTGAGCTAACGAAGAGAAGGGAATACTAGCCTATGGTTCACATAAAATGACTTGGTTTTGAATAACTCATCTTGAATTTATGAAAGGCTATGAACCTCATGTTGGGTATAACTCTTGTTGGGTTGGCACTTAATGCCTTGATCATGCAAATTCGTGTATAAATTGAGTCTTTTTATTTGTCTTTTGGTTTCTTGGGGACAAGCAACGGTTTAAGTTTGGGGGTGTGATATGTGTTGAGAATTCAACACATAATGCATCTGTTTTACGTCTTTTTAGTCAAAATTAGTTTCCTTTCATTCCCACTTTGAGTCATTTTGATTTATTTCTTTATACCTTTGTTATGGAGCTAAAATATTGTGGTTAAACTTGTTGGGACACAAAGATACAAGCTAACGGAGAATTTTTCCTAAAACAGTCTGATGCTACAGCATTGCAGCAGCAACCACCTGATACGTGCACGGTTTTGCGAGGGCTTAACGATTAAGCTGCTGACTTTTGGATGTTGAATGGAAGACAGCTGGAAGATTTTTTTAATCAAAGATTTTTGAATTAATATGTCATCTTGTACTTAAGATTCCCTTTTATTAACTTTTGGACATTAACTAGTGGTTAATATCTTTGTTGTTTAGTGCAAGGCTTTCTGTATAAATAGGAGGCTTAGCCTTGTGATTTCCACACATCTTATAACATATTTATAAGATCAAGATCAGCTTGTTAGGGCTGATTTTGGGAGAAACTTTTGAGAAATCCAAGTTCTTGAATTTAAGCTTTCATCTTTTAATTTCTTGTTCTTTACTTTATGTTCCTTTACGTTTATTGTTATTTAATTTCCGCAATTTACATTCTCGTCATTTATTTTCTCGCAATTTACATTCCCGTCATTTACTTTCTCGTTATTTATTTCCTCATTATTTACTTTACGCAATTTACGTTTATGTCTTTACTTTCCGTCATTTAATTTTTACTTTCCGTTATGAGTAGCTAAGCTTTTATAGCTTGGGTATGAGACGGAAATGTGAGATTTTTCAAACCAAACAAAAGTAGCTAAGTGTTTTCGTAAACGACGTTCCATTGTTTCATTCGAGTTTTTATAAAACCAAGCACACTTCTTGACGGGTTGATCAATTTGAAAGTGTTAAAGTGCAATGGACTTAGAGATAAGCCATTAATAAGCACGTCAACTTGAATGACATAAGAGGTAGACTTGAGAAAGTTGCCGACAAGGAGACTTATCATTTATGTTTTTCAAAACTTAACTCCCAGCGGGTTGGTCACTCTCCGAAAGTGTCAAAGTGTGATAGATTCAGAGATGAACTATCAAGAACACGCCAACTCGAATGATATGAAAATCGACTCGAGAGAGTGACTTTTAACAAAGAAATTTGTTTATCCATATATTTTGAAAACACCATCTTGTCACTATCCCTGGTCGGGACACCACATAGAGATATGGGTGGAAAGCTATAATATAGTGCAATGGTGAAGTCTGAAGGAATGCCTTCAAAATAGATGGTGGAACTTAGTTTTGAAACATTGCTTGCTGTAGCATTCCTATAGCATTGGCTGTTGGAATTTTTGTTTGGGTCTCACCTTAAGTCTTATACCTTTGCTTCTTTTATATATTTTGTATTATGTTTTAATTCACCTTAATATCAAACAAAAGTCTTCAAAATCGTCATCTGAAATCATCTCTTTCATTGGACTATAATTTAACTTTGGCTACAATCTCCGTGGACGATAATCTGGTACTTGTACCACTTTATTACTTGGAAAGACGACGTTAGGTCGTATTGTATACTTGCTTCGTAGTCCAATTTCATTAGTCTAAAGGTGTGAGATATAACCGACCTAGTGCTGTCATAATTTAAAGGCAAACACTACCACCATCAATTCCAAGTCGGGCGTTGGATAGTTCTTCTCGTGTTTCTTAAGTTGACAGGACGCATAAGCTATCACTTCCCCCCTTTGTATCAACATACATCTTAGACCGATCTTAAAGGCATTACTAAAGACCATGAAATCTTCTAAATCCCTCAGGTATAGATAAGACCAGCGCCTCAAACAACTTATTTGAAGAATTTTGAAAACTTGATCTTACGTTTCAGACAACATGGACATGACATTCTTCTTGGTCAAGGATGTTAATGGCGAAGCAATCTTTAAGAAGTCTTTGATGAACCTCCATAGTAGTTGGATAATCCCATGAAAATTTTGTTTTATGTTGGGCTCATTGGTGGTTCCTAATTCATCATTGCTTCAATATTGTAAGAGTCCACCTTTACTCTGTCTCTAGTCACTACATGGCCCAAAAACCGGACTTCTTGAAGCCAAAACTCGCATTTGGAAAACTTGGGAGAACACTTTCTCTTTTCAAAGGACTTTAAGAACCTCTTCAAGATGGCCTTCGTGCTCGACTTCATTCTTTGAATAAACGAGGATATAATCAATAAATACTATTACCGACTATCTAGGAAAGAACGATATAATCGGTTCTTCAAGTCCATAACACATCCGAAGCGTTTGTTAACCTAAACAGCATTAGTAAGAACTCGAAATGTCTATATCTTGTTTGGAAGGCCATCTTTGAAACATCATCACTCTGACAGATATTGTGCCTAAATGACACCATTGTCAAGCACTATAGCCCAACTTATACCAAAAGTTTTTTCTCAATTTACACCCATTTGAACCCTTTCCTTTTAACCAAAACTCAAAAGACTTAACTTCAAGGCTTTAACCAAAACAATTTTAAAGGTAAAAAATAGAAAAATCTTGGGATTTCACTCACCAAAATTTCAAGTGTTACATGTAGGTAATGGATGTTTGTGCAACAATGAGGCTCAGGAGTTCTCAGAGCTATCCATGAGTCCCATTAGAATATGATTTGATGCAACTGACTAAAATAAGTAATAAATTTACGAGCAGTCTCATCAAATATTTGAGGTGCACCAAAGCTCAAATGATCTCTAAGAACTTGCATCTCAAAGATATACGAGTTGACAGACTTATTAGGTACTTGTCATTTGTTCTGAAAAATAGACCACGATTGATATTGGTGGGGAAGACCTATAGAACTCTACCTTTTGGCGAGAAAGTCCCAAAGTCCTAAGATATTGTTGATTGATTTCAATGGTTGTGTATGCATTTATGAACCCTAAGATGCGAGCATTCATGATATCCCACTCATTTATGTGTTTAGAAAAGTTAGCATCATTCTCAGTTGCACCTCGGATTGGAGCTTTAGTAGCCACTGTAACATAGGTATGTAACTCATGAGACTTGAGGAGTATAGTCATGTGATGGTGCAATAGGATGTAATTGTGGCCATCGAGAACCACAGAGATAGGATTAGAGTGACTTGAGGTGATTGACATTTGTAAAGTAGAAATATGGAATAATGACTTATGAGGCTTATTTTCTTCCATAAAAAAGTTAGGGTTCAATGAGGAGTAATTTCTCAATTGATTTAGGTTCAAAACAAGATGATTATTGATTGATATAGGTTCTTGATAACAAATTTTGATCACAAAGAACACGGATCTTGGCTATTGATTTGTGAATCACATCAATAGAGATTTTACATCAAAAAATAGGGATGCAAACAATCAAGAAAACGTACCTATAGCTCTGATAGCATATTAGGATTTATGTATGGATTAAACAAAGATCAACCAGGGAACGATTGCATGGCTAAAGGCTTTCTGATTATATAAGAGAGAAAAAGGTTTACAAAAGGAAAATTAAAGTGAAGGAAAACGGAGGCTACTATCTATACTAACAAGATATAGATTAAGGTAAAACTAGCCCTTATACATATGTAAAATGTCACTAACGGTTAGGTATCAGAGTCCTAGGTTAGGCCACTAGGTATCAGACTTGTATGATGGAGTAGGGTCTGAGGGGCTTTCTTTGGCTTTTTGTTTTATCAGTACTTCATCGTTAGTTAGCTTAGTTATTTTATACCTTCTCATATGATTTTAATTTGTTTGCATGCTTTATATTTTTTTCTGGTTGTTGTTTAAAAAGATATTGTCTAATTTTGAAAACCAAATATTCTTAGCAAATTCATTTTCTCAAAATCTTTTGACATGTTTAAGGTAACATTTTATTTACTCCTAGAGGTAGATGTAAACAATTTTTTTTATTTTTTAAAAATGTTAATAAAGTATTTATTATTCAATAATAAGTAATTAATAAGACAAAAAGGTTTTGATTTTATTTGCACGCAGAGAATTATATAATTCATTAATGAATAATATTGAGGAATCTTGCTTGTTTAAGGTGGCCCACAATACAGGAGGATCTGAAGGAAGACTTCTTCAAAATGAAAAAGGCTTGGTAGGGCCCACGAAATAGACATGTGAGTCTCCCTCGTGTGTGGAACTCCCCACCGCCGGTACTCATAACAATTCTAATAAAAACTTAACAACTTATTAGAATTCAATTTCATTTTTTTCAAGATTTGAAATCCGTAGCCACCCTATAAATACCACCCTTCACCACCTTCTTCCCTTGCACTCTCGCTTTGCTTTAAACCAAACCTAACCTGACTTAACCTAACCTACAGGTAGTGTTTGTGTGCGAGAGAGTCTAAAAATGGTTGGGTGGGCTATAGCTGTACACGGCGGCGCCGGTGTCGACCCTAACCTCCCAACCGATCGCCAAGAACAGGCCAAACTCCTCCTCACTCGTTGCCTCAATCTCGGCATATCTGCTCTTCGATCATCAGCTTCCGCCATTGATGTCGTTGAGCTCGTCGTAAGAATCACTCACCTATTCTCCAAATATATGGAATACGGATTTAATTTCCCCTACCTAGTTCGTAACAAACGACATCTCAATAATAAATTAAACGATAGCAATCACGGTTTGCGTTTACCGATATAATGACATTGATGTTTGATTCGTATCTGGATTAGCGAATAATATATGAATGGTGATAGGTTCGGGAACTGGAAACGGATCCGATATTCAACTCGGGGCGTGGATCTGCACTGACGGAGAATGGAACGGTGGAGATGGAAGCCAGCATCATGGACGGGAGTGGCCGGAAATGTGGAGCGGTCTCCGGACTAACGAGCGTGAAGAATCCGGTGTCGCTGGCTCGCTTAGTCATGGACAAATCCCCTCATTCCTATCTTGCCTTTTCCGGCGCCGAAAACTTCGCCAAACAAATGGTAAACCCATATTTATCTCTACAACTTCTGTTACAATCACATTAGTTTCAAATTTCACTTTTTTATTTGTTTGGAACTCTCACTTCAACTTAATTGATAAATAAACTCAAATAAGTCCTTAATTAGATATAGGAGTTAAATTAATCAATATGTGTTGATTGTGAAGGGTGTGGAAAGGATGGAAAACGATTATTTCATCACGGAAGACAACGTGGGGATGCTAAAACAAGCAAAAGAAGCCAACTCCATTCTGGTAATTAGGATCAAATTAATTAATTAATTAATTATATGAAAAGTGACAGTAATTAAACTAACATACATTCTTGGTTACGGAATTAAACATGCAGTTTGATTATAGAATCCCGACGAGCGGATACGAATCCTGTGGAGTCGGGGTGGAGAGTCCGATAACCATGAATGGTCTTCCAATCAGCGTATACGCACCGGAGACGGTGGGGTGTGTGGTTGTTGACAGCCAAGGGCGGTGTGCGGCGGCGACATCCACCGGAGGACTGATGAATAAGAAGGTGGGAAGGATCGGAGACTCACCCCTCATCGGTGCCGGTACGTACGCATGTGACGTATGTGGGGTGTCGTGCACCGGAGAAGGGGAGGCGATAATCAGGGGAACGGTGGCGCGAGAGGTGGCGGCGGTGATGGAGTACAAAGGGTTGGGGTTGCAGGCGGCGGTGGATTTTGTGATAAAAGAGAGGTTGGATGATGGGAAAGCAGGGGTGATAGCGGTGTCGGAAAAGGGTGAGGTGGCATATGGGTTTAACTGTGTAGGAATGTTTAGAGGGTGTGCCACTGAAGACGGGTTCATGGAAGTTGGGATCTGGGAGTGAACCACGCACTTAGCTTAATTATAGTTAGTGGTAGCTGTTAGTTTTAATAAATTGCAGGCTCGCTTAGCTTGTTTTGTTTTTAGCTTGTTTTGTTTTTAGTTTCTCGTTTTTTAAGGGTCTTTTTGGTTCTTAATTTATGAACATGGCGTATGCCTAGCAATTTTTCTCTACACCGATTACATTGTGAGTGATGTGTTATCTTTCATATTTGATTTCATTTACAACTGTTAGGTTTAAATGAAAACATAATAAACGTAAGAGAACATGAATAAGTTCGTGTAATTAAAATCACATGTTATTATAAATGTGTACGTAACTTAGGTCTCTGTCAAGTTTGACGGTAATCATATATGATATAGATGTTCTTTTTTTAATTTGAAAATTGTTCTTATTTGAACATCTTTTTACATGCATAAATATATAAACATGTAAGATCTACTTCAAATGAGTGATTTATTAGAACTTATTTTTGTATTTCTTTGTCATACCGTTTTCAATTAAAACAAACTAGTGTTTGACACCATGCGTTGCATGGTGACAATAATCTTTTTTAAAATTACTGAAGTTAGCTAAATGAATCGATGATTATATTTATATATCAAATTAATAAGAATCAATATTACCTTTGATATATGAATCTACCTTATCACTATTGGTTGTTCTTTTAATATATATATATATATAGAGAGAGAAGCGATCAAATGAAAACCACTCCAATTTGTAAAAACCGTAAAAACTACTCTCATTCATCGATTTCATTGTTTAATCTTATGAAATTTTTTCATGAAATTGTTTCATATAATACTTTTTTTATGAAGTTGTTTCATATATGGTTATGAAATTGTTTTATATATTACTTAATGAAATTTTAATGAAACTGTTTCATGTATTTCTCTAAAATTAAAATAATGACGATGATAATATCCATGATTAACAACCTCCACAATAAATATGATTAATCAACCTCTCATAATTACAAAAAAATGAACAAAATGAAATATTATGATTGGTGGAATAAGGTTTTTACGGTTTTTACAAATTGAGTGGTTTTTATTTGATCGCTCCCCATATATATATATATATATATATATATATATATGTATAATTAATTAATTAATAAGTCTTATATATCAATCTTTTATTATATCAAACTTTGTAATTGGTTCAAAATCATAAAAAAAAATATG